GGTATTTGTTTCAAAATTTAGCGACGTTGATGCTACTTCCTCTGCAACAATTCACAGAAGATAATTATGGTTAACAAGAATTTTCATTGCTACAATTGATTAAATGAAATCAACAATATATTGAATACTTATTTTTAAGGTGTAGAAATTGCTCTCTGCCAATATTTAATTAGAACACCACTGTAAGTTGAGGCCTATACTTGAGAGTAGATTTCGTTTCTAAAAAATAATGTCTCCATGTAGCAGATTATGATGTACTACCTTTGGCTTTGTCTATAAACTTGCAATACTCGAGTCCAACTAACAGTATTATTCTTTCATTTGGTAAATAGAAATTAGGGCAATTAGCATGGATAATCACTTTTTGACATTTAGTTGTAGAAATGACCATTTTTTAATAATGGCAACATATTGATCACATTGACAGTACAACGATGACATAAAGACACATGATCATTTCTGCAACCAAATGTCAAAAAGTGGTCATTCCTGCTCTAGAAATTAAACGATATACTAGCTAATGATGGGTCAAGAGAGGAGAGGACCGGTTCTACGTTACCAACGACGGTTAAAGGATTCGTATGGAATATTAAAACTTATTACATGTTGAAGCATTAAACAAAATAAAATAATGGAAAGGATCAACAAGGAATACATTGTTGTGCACCTTTGCGGTATTTTGAAATACCGCAAGGAGGAAGGCAGGATCAATTCTCCGACTCCCTCTCTGCTTCCTCTATTGTTGATAGCCACCGTCTCCTCACGCTTTGCATTGGGGCTCTCAATTCAAATTATGAATCTGAATTTGGCCTCTTCTTGGATGAATAGTGAATGTCTTTCCTTGCAACTCAATTGTAAATCAATTGCAAAAATGTAAACATTCCAACAAAATTAATCTGTTAACCATCATAACCAAGCATTTTGGCTTCAAATTGAAATCTATACTTCTTTCCCCAAGATATAGAGCAAGAAGATTGGGGTGAAGGTACCACAACAATAAGACATTTGTAGGGATGACAACGGTTCGGTTTGGGGACGAAAATGTTATATCCATCCTCATAACCACGAAAATTAATCATATCCATAACTATCAATTAACCATCGGGTATTATCCATAACCATACCCATCGGGTAACGGATTCCCCACATGTTAACGGTTATTCCCATATTCGTCAATACAAAAAATATAGTTGTTCAATTGTCGCATGATAATTTAGCAAATATTAATTTCATCATTAAATATTTGATGTATAAAATGATTTAATGAATGGATCTTGTGGAGCATAAAAATTAAAGCTAAACAATGATAATGTCGGCTGATCTTTGATATCTCTCATAAGTACTATTGATCTGGATTCTCATAGATTTTGATTCATATCAAAACTTTTTAACTTGCCCACAATGCAACTTACACAATGCAACTTATGTATTCTTAAGGTAATGGATTCAGTGAATAATAAATAAATAAATATATATATACATATATTATAATACAATTATATTATATATAATTATATATAAATATTAGGGTAAAGTACAAAAAACTATTTCAACTATTGGTGTCACAACACTTTCATACCTCATCTTTTAACATTGACAATGTCATACCTCATCTTTAGAATTTGGTCCAATGTTATACCTTCCGTTACTTGATCGTTTACTTTTCAGTTAAATGCTCACGTGGCTTGATTCGGGACCCACTTTCTATTAAAAATTCATTAAATATTATTAAAAACTAAAAAAAAAATATTAAATATTTTTAAAATAATAAAGGAAAGTATTAAAAAAATTAAAAAAAAAACCTCGTCCCTCCCCCCCCCCTCTCTCTCTCTCTCTCTCTACATCTTCTTCCCTGCTTAATATTCAAAAAACAAAAAAAAATTTGAAAACCCATTAACAACCCCCCCCCCCACCGCGTGTGCACGGGGAAGAAGAAGAAGAAGAAGAAGAAAAACAAAAAAAAACAGAAAAAAAAAAACCCAAACCAACCCCCCTTCTAGCCCAAAAAGAAGGAGGAAGAAGAAGAAGGAAATTAAGCAAGTCGCTGAATACCAACTAGATAATAGTATTACCCCTACACATTTGAACCATTTGGTTGAGAAAGTTCTAAACATTCTAATAAAGGACTGGTTTGGGATTGTAGTGCTTTTAAAAAAGGAAACTTTAACAAAAAGCTCCCGGTGCTGTTCACTTTAATGAAAAACCATATTTTTACACTAAAAAGTTAATCCTGGTAGTATTAACTTTACTCTTTATTTTGTCCTTATTGTTAAAACTCAAAGTTTTTAAGTCATTTTTATTAGTTTTCTTTTTAAAAAAAATCTAGAACATTACGTGTGTTTGGTAACACAAAAAAAAAAAAAAAAAAATAAGAAGTGATTTTAAAAAAAAAAAAAAAAAAAACTGTTGACAATGATAGTAGAAAAACATAAAAAACAAAAACAGGGTCTACCATATTTCTAAAGAAAGTGCCCTTTTTGTTTTGTTTTTTTCAAAGTATAGTAATTAGTGCTCATTTATTAAAATTTTCAAAGGGCAAGTACAACCCCACATATTTTACAAAATTACAATTTTTGCCCCTACGTTATTGTCTTTGACAATTATTATATCACACTACATACCATATCCTTTTTAGTTATTTAACACATTCACAGCACTTTATATAAAAGTTTACCAACCACTCAGACACTATTTTTTTTTTTTTTTTTTTGTTAAAAGCACTTTTACAAAAAAAAAATTACCAAACATCCAACAACTTTATTTTACAACTGTTTATTCTCATAGGACAACATAATCACATCTTTTTTAAGAAAGCATAGGAATACCAAACTAACCCAAAGTATTTCCGCTTAGTACTACGGTCTAATGGTTTTCCTCTTCACTTAGATTTTGGGTTTAATTCTCGACAAAAACAAATTAGAACCATATTTTGCTAGCCCATTGTGAGGTTTAGCCCACCCTCTCCCTTTAACGTAGATAATATCATTTTTTAAAAAAAAAATCTTTTATCTTAACCCAATTTCACCATTAGAATTAAAGGAATTACAACCCTTGATTAAGCCCGAAGTCAAGGACGAGTTTTTTCAAAATGATGTTCTTCCTTGGTGCTAGAGGCTACTTCTCAAACAATTTGACTTAGGTTTGTTCTTATTGAATGCAAGTATGAAAGCGCAAGCTTTTTTATTTGGCTAATTTCCTAGACAAGTTTAATGCGTCTGTAATATATTAGTTTTAGATTTTAGGCGTGTCGTAGTTTCTAGGTTTAATTATTGAAAACGTGCACATCAAGGCATATATTGGAGTATCGTGTGCATTCATATAGGAATCGAGAATCACATCATTGCATATCTTGAAGATTATAAGATCAGTTTAATTGCCTAGTTTTAAGAAATAAACCAATTTGATTTTATTCTGGTACATAATTAATTCCAGTTTCCTTTATTCTAGGCTGTTGGTTTCATAGGAAATCAAGCCTATCATTCATCTTTGCTTGCTTATAAGATTTGAGCATAAAAGGTTTAAAGCAAATTGTTCTTGAGTGCTAGGTTAGAAGAGTGATCTTAGTGAAACACTTCATACCTTTCATATTATTCACCATATTCATTTGTGTGAAGAAGTTGTGTGCAATCTCTTTAGTTGTGAGAAGAACCTGTTGAGTGAGTCGTGTTCATCCAAAAGAGAGCAAAAGAAGAAAGAGAGCAAAAGAAGGATTGTGTGCTACAAGATTAAAAGAACAAGAGAGAACTTTAAGTGTAGTAGATGTCTATCTTGTTGAGTCTTGTAAAAGTTCTTATTTTTCAGTGGTTCTTTAATCGGTTGTGTGCCCGTGAATTTTCCCCATTGTGTGTGGGGTTTTACCACGTAAAAGAATATTGTGAGTCTTTTGTTCTTTTTCTCTATGTCATTTTGTTTTTCATTGTTACGTATTATGATTTAAATTGTACTTGAATCCTCCTCTAGAATTTTAGTTGAGATTATTTATCTATTGGGTTTGGGTTCCTCGACCCAGCTACGTTTTCAAAGTGGATGCTATATCACTAAAATTTAACAACACCTTTGTAATTGCTATGACAAGATATCCTCTAATTCACTAAAATACAAAACATGTCATGAGGAACCATCACTTTATTAGAGACCCTTTGTACGTCAGATAATGTGATTGAATTACTCTATTGCAAATATGAGGATCAAACTGTTGATATATTTACTAGGGCTACACTAAAAGAGAATTTTGCATACCTCAGGGATTTGCTTGAGAAGAGAATGCTCATTTGGAATAATTGTATGTCTTATTCATCGCTCAAGAAGGTGTTTATAAGATGTTACAATCCTATCATTCAGGAAAGAAATAATTTACATAAAAACATATTAAACTAAGAATCCCAAGATTACAGGAATATACACAAAAAGTCAACACTTTCCCTCAAGTTGGTGCATATATGTCACACATGGCCAACTTGTGTACCAACTGATCTTCCGTTCTTATTTCCAATACCTCAATTATCTTCCCTTCCAATTTTTCTTTGATGAAGAACCGATCAACTTCAACATGCTTTGTTCTATCGTGCTATACTGGATTATGTGCAATGTCATGGGCAGTTTTATTATCACAAAACAATTTCATAGGTTGATCATGTTTTATACCCAAATCCCTTAGCAGAAGCTTAAGCTATAAAATTTCACAAATTCCTAAGGCCATACCTCTGTATTCAGCTTCTGCACTAGACCGAGCAACCCCATTTTGTTTCTTACTCTTCCATGTAACCAAGTTACCCCCAACGAATGTAAAGTAACCTGATGTTGAGCGTGTGTCACCCACTGATCTTTCCCAATCTGCATCAGTATAACCTTCAACTCTAAGATGATTATTCTTTTTAAACAAAATTCCTTTGCCACGGATGGAAAAGCCGAGCTCTCTCTCAAGCATGCAAGAAGGTTCGTCTCTCTCTCTCTCTCTCTCTCTCTCTCTCTCTCTCTCTCTCTCTCTCTCTCGCTCTCAAACCTCAACTTGTCTCTTTCACTTTCTCCGTTTTGCTGAAAAACCACCCAACCAATAAACGCTTTTGGTTTGATTTGAAGAAAAATTTTACCCATAAAGGATAGCATTTCTTGGTGAGTTCTTCGGATCTTACATTTGGGGTTTTCTTTTGTTCAAATATGGGGTTTTGTGATCGTGGTTTTCCTTTTCTTTTTTTCTTTTTTTTTTTTAAATTTTTTTATTTGAGATTTTGTTTGGGTTCTCTGTTTTCAGATGAGTTTTGCATCCCTGTAAACCTAGATTTCTCGGCGTTATGTGGAAGGTCATAAAATTGGTTTCCAAGGTTTTTTTTCTTCCTGATCTTGCAATTGCTGATGCAAGGGTTTCAGAGTATTTCTCAATCTCTCCTTACACAGGTAACTAAATCTCACTTCTTCTCAAGTACCCAGAAGCCAAATATTTAATTTTTCACTGTACTTAATCTCTTTTAGCAACCTCCAGTTGTCCTCTGCTTTTCTCACTCTCCAGTGTTCATCAACACCAACAGGTCTCTCTCTACCTCTACCTCTCTCTTTCTCTCTCTATATCTCCGATATGTTTATACATGTCGTTGTGTATCTATATATCAGGTTGAAAAAGTTGTTAATTTGATTAATTTTGTTAGGGAGATTATTTGTTTTGGTGATGGATTTGTGGGTTTTAATCGTGTTTTGGATATACTAACAATTTTGTTTTGCAGTAATTGCAATGTGTTGTCCACGATTTGCCTGGTAAAACCAGATTTTGCGTGTGGGTTTATTCGTAGACGAGTCTATGATTTTTCAGGAGTTGCAACGTTGTTGGTAAGGCTTGAGCATTTTCATCATATTAGCTATTCCGTACATCAGTCCAATATGTTCTTATCCCTTGCACTCCGTTGTTTATGTTTGGAATTTGTGATTAGAAATTAGAGAATTAACTTCTTGATAATTGCATGTGTTTTTGCCCCCTCATGATATCATGAGATCTAATGAGATTGTTTGCGATCTGGTTAAATACATAGTAATAAGGACAATAGTTCATATTTTTAAGGAAGGTTAATGGTTATGGGTTTTTACATTTATTGTTAACAACTATAATTGTTATGGTTGATTATCGTTCTTTTAGTCTTACTAGGTTTCTTTGTTCAATGGTTTGGTCCATCTTATTAAGTTTCTCACCAGAGATCTCTGCTAGCACTGCTCTTCTCTTGGACCAGGTACAACTTCTTTGACTTTCTGTTTGTTTCCGGGAAAATTTAGAGCTCGAAAGTGTGTAGAACTGTAGAAGTAAAAAAAGTCTCAATCTTTCTATTGTCCTGTACAAAAAGAAATTGAATTTTGAATTTGTGTTTTGGCATACCCTTTACTAGAATTTTGTGATTTGGGAATTGTAGAAGTTGGTGGCGATTCAAAACCCATTAACTCGGATGAGAATTAAGAGTAATTTGAAACTAGACAGCAAGGAATTGCAAGTGGGTAATGATAATGATAATGGTGAGGATAATGATGATGACACAAATCCGCTATTTTGCATATGGTTTTGAAGATTGATTTTTTTTTTTTTTTATTTTGATTTTTCTTTTTTGTATTTTTTAGCAGGTGTTGTTTTGGTTTTTCATTCCTTATCATCGCTACTACAAAAGAGGTTAGTTTTGTTTTCTACATTTAAAGAGTGTTTAAAGAAAAGTTGCATGTAATTGATTTTCTGCAATAATGTTTTGAAATTCCTTATTTATATTGTTCTACATATTCTTGGTTTGCATTTATTTTATGCGATGATATTAGTGCTTGCTTTTGTTTTTACCCAGCTACCTATTTGTTGCTTTTGGTTGTAATTTTGTAAATACAATGCGCAAAGCAACTAGAACCACCCAGAAAAGTTTAAACATACAAGGAAGCCATAGTTCTTTTACTTCAAGCGGAATTGAAATGTCTAATAAAAAAGTTTGTTGCACTAACAATGAGCATCAACATTGTGAATTTTATTTGTTCCCTAAAAGTACTATACTAGCCAATAGAAAAAAATAAAGCCGCAATGATGAAAAAAATTGTCGGAGTCAAAACAAACGATAAAGAATCCTTACACTATTGAGCCATGATTGAAATAAATTTGATACTAATTTTATGTGTGCATAGCTGAATGTGAAACAGTGTAATTAAATGTGAAACAGTATGTTTTCAGTACCTTGGTATATAGTACAAGATTGGGGGTAATGACACCAATAAAAACTGGGTTTAGTGCAAAGTGAATCATTCGAATGCTCAGAATGTATTATATTTGTAAATTCCAGCCAATGCTGCTCTAACATGATACAAGAGATCAACACTTTCATCCATATGTAAGTTCCTCTAATAAGTACTTTGCACAAATGCTTTACAAATTTGAGCTTTTATCTTCTGATTATTTTATGCAGGGGTTTTTATTACTTTTTCTTTGATTGGAAATTTGGTGGTTTCTTAAGATACAATGATATCAAATTAGATTTTTCTAATTTTCTTATTTTGGTGTTTTGCAGGGAGTGCTAATATACTGATATTTGGGATTTTTTATCTTTGAAATAGGTAAATGCTATTTTTAATGTTTCAGTTCTGGCATGTTTGGTTCTTTGAATTCTGTAGTTTGATTGCTTCTTCGTTGCTTCGTGATTTTCATTTTTCAGTGTAATTAAATTCTTGAATTTTGCATATTGAACTAATGAAGTTCATTCTGAATTTCCAATTCAACACTATAGCATTATAAAATTGTTTTGCAAAGAAATTGTGTGTTGTTCATGTGCATTCTTCATTGTTTGTACTTTCAATTCAAGATAATGCAGTATATTTTCAACAGTAACCAATGATATATTCTCAGATAATCGTGGCAGGATGCCCATGATGTGTTATTTAGGGGACTTTGAGTGGAATAATTTTGTGATGGTTATTAGTTTGAAACGTTGATGTTTTTTAGTTATTTGACTACCTTTACATCTCTTTCATTTAAATACTTGATTGGGAGCTTAATCTTTCTTTTGGTATTTGTTTAGTTTTCTTTTGTTGGCTATGTTTTGTATCTCATTAACAACGGTAAGCAAGTGAACGCTATAAGTTATCTATTACCGGTATCCATTTTAAAAAATCATATGTATGATCCTTGGTGGATGTTATTTGAGATTTCTCATTATTGTAGTGGTGTTGTGTTAACATTTCTTTTGCAATTTGATACTTTTCTATTTACACATTTCTTTACATGCAATTTAATCTGCATATTTGTGATTTCGTAAATTGATAAAATTGATATTTTGATTCTATAACTTTGTAACTAAATGAAAATGGTTTCAACTCTGCGATTTGCCAGCTTTTAATCCAACAAGAAAGATGAAGGTTCGTGCCTGTTGAGTGTGGAGGAGTTAAAAGTAGGTGAGTTAAAAAAAAATGTAAGAATGCAGGAATGTAAGTAAGATTAATCTTTTTCACATGCACATCATCTTTTGTATATAGATTCTATCAATCAAATCTTTCGTATATAAAGATTTATTCAGCATTTTCTGTCATACAATCTTTTATATCTTTGAAACAAAATTTTCACACAATTTGTGATCCCGCAGCAACGCGCGGGCAAAACTATCAGTGATATCTGAAAGCCTCGTCCTTTTAATTTATTTTCTCTCTTATACAAACTAACACACCAAATTGGCCTTAGAGCCAGGTTGATGGCTAGAAAAATCAAGCTCCGCCAGAGTCAAGTTCTGCGTTGGTAGTTGTGGATGTTTAGCAGGAGCAGTTCGCAACCCAACTCCAGGAGATGAACGAGACGGTGACAACAATCTCATCGCACCAAGAAGCGGATCAGTCCGAAAGGACGGATATGCAGCGGGCTATCATGTCGTTGACGGCGATGTAGAACCAGTTTCAAGCATCCTGGAGCTCTCAACAAGCTAGCCTCCAACTCACGATGCTGAAGTAGATTTGACAGCTGAAGCCGGCTTCTCGACCTTCATCGTTGGAGAGGGTCTTTCAGATTCCGTCGTTTGGGTCCATTTCGTTGCCACCTTCTTTGCCAATTACAGGGGTAACATCGACGCAGCCATCGGTTCCGAATTTGTATTCAAGCAATTCGATCTTTGGGTACGCTTCAACCACAAGTTATTCATCTCTTCCGCCAATGACACTCCAACGGTTGTCGACACAATCAATCCCCATCCTCTCTACACACCCAACCTCAGTTGCTTACCTACCCTACCCCACATCATCGATTCCCACGATTGGGCATCCAAATTTCCCATCTCATCCAAATTATGGGCCCTCAGGATTGCCCCTATTTTTCGCTGAGTAGTCATCGTAGGGAATGGGTCAGGGCATGAAACCCATGCGGTTGGATTTACCCAGGTTCTGTGGGGAAGATCCACTTAGCTGGTTAGCCCTGGCTGAACAATTTCTCAACTAACATAAGGTTCCGGAGCATCAGAAAGCTGTTATGGCCGTGGTTCATCTCACCGGCAACGCCGCCTTATGGATGGGCTGGTTTGAATCACGAGGTCATCGCGATAATTGGGAAAAATTTGGGGAAGAATTGCTAAAGAGGTTTGGGTCTTGCAAAACGGTAAGCTTCACAGCTCAATTGTCCCACATCCAACAACATAGGGCCCTTGATGATTACGTGGTCGAATTTATCAGAATCTCCTGCAGAGTACTTGATTGGACCGACAAACAACTTAAGGGGGTATTTGTTGGTGGAGTTAGCCCAATTTCTAGCTACGTTATCTCGTGCGATGGAGTTAGCCCAAATCTACAACACAATATCATCGAGCCTAGAAAACCAAAATCGACCATTTAGGCCATTTCCCTCAAATCCCCAAGTTCGAAATACTAATATCCCAATTAGATGCCATAACAACCCATCTCCATATTTTTATAAGCCTTAGAGGGTTTAGGTCTGGTTTGGTACTGAGGTGATTCTGAAAAAAGTTGGTATCAAAAAAAGTTGGGAGTTGTTTTTGTGTTTAGTAAACATTCAGCTTCAGCTTTTTTTTCACAGTTTTGGGTAAAAAGAAACCAAAAACAAGAAGCTGCAAAACCCAGCTTTGAAAAACTGGCTTTTTTTCACATCTGTTTTACATAAAAGTTTACCAAACACTATAATACTGTTTTTTTTTTTTCAAAAGCACTTTTACAAAAAAGTTTACCAAACACTTTACTGCTTTATTTCACAGCTGCTTATTCTCACAACACAGCAGAAGTAGCTTTTTTTCAAAGCACAGCAATACCAAACCACCGCTTACTCCAGTAGAATACCAAGAAATGAGAGAGAATGGACTGCCACTTTTGCCCTGAGTAATATTCGCCAGGTCATCAGTGTAAAAAGCCTCAGCTGTTGATGTTTGAAGCGCTGATTGAAGAACCAAAGGAGCAGGTGGACGAAAATGAGATAGCTATAATGGAGGAAGATGAAGCACATGACCCACCATTTACCATGTATGCTTCAATGCATTCGTTGTGCCCCAGAACCATTACACTATATAGTAGATCAGATAGGAAAACCCTAGTAATTGGGTACCACTACAACTATGATTTAGTGTTGCGCAACAGACAGATAGTAAATAGAAATGACACCTAATACTTAAGGGTCAAAACAGTAATTATCGCATCAAGTACAATCCTGAAGCTTCTGATATCATGGTCAAAACTCGGAGAAACCAGCCTCATCCCAAGCATGACTCTCTTCATAATGGGTGTTTTTTTTTATTACAAGAATCGCATGTTTGTACCTCAATATTCACAGTGACGTTACTCAGGTTATTTAGCCACCCAAATGCGCATTTCCTACAACTTCATGTGGCCTGGAATCCGCAAGGATATCAGAAACTTTGTTGCCACTTGTGATACTTGTCAACGACAAAAGAATTAGGCAATCAAACCCCCAGGTCTTCTTCAATTTTTACCCATTCCTCAAGATGCTTGGCAGGACATCTCTCTTGACTTTGTGGAAGGGTTGCCAGCATCTAATCACAAAAATGTTATCCTTGTGGTCGTGGACATATTTACTAAATATGGACATTTCATACTTGTCTCTCACCCTTATACAGCAGTCAAAATAGCTGAGCTTTTCATTCACCATATATTTCGCCTTCATGGTATGCCTTGATCGATTGTGAGTCATCATGATTCCACTTTCCTTAGCCAGTTTTGTGATGCCTTTTGCAAGGTTCAGGGTTCAATATTGTATCGAAGCTTTGCATACCATCCTCGATCAAATTGCCAAATTGAGGTAATAAATAGTAGGGCTAGGTTCAGTTTGAAACGGTTCAGTTTTTTGCCAAAACCAAAACCGAACCAAAATTTCGGTTCAGTTCAATTTTTTTTTTTTCTTCTTCTTCTTCTTCAATAGAAAAAAAAATTCCACAAAACAAAGCTTGCATGATCTTCTCTTGCGCAGAATAGGCTTTAGGTCTACCGCAATAAATTTGAACAATAAGAAACACAGATTAGTTATTCTAATAACTACAAGAATCTGGCAAGGCATCAAGAAATCAAAACCCTAAACGAAAATGCATACTTCCAGATAATTAGAGCCAAATCATGTAGTTAATTTTCAGACCACATATGTATATAGTTAGATCAGTGTTACAAAAACTTGAACCAATTGAAGGCAAGAGTTGTCTAACAAATAGAGAAAATCATTTACCTTTGTGGCTGTGGGAATACATAGTTTCAACGAAGAATTGAAATGGGTTCCCTTGAAAATGTAAAGTCAGGCAAAAACTACAAGAATCTGGCAAGGCATCAAGAAATCAAAACCCTAAACGAAAATGCATACTTCTTCTTCTTCTTCTTCTTCTTCTTCTTCTTCAATAGAAAAAAAAAAATTCCACAAAACAAAGCTTGCATGATCTTCTCTTGCGCAGAATAGGCTTTAGGTCTACCGCAATAAATTTGAACAATAAGAAACACAGATTAGTTATTCTAATAACTACAAGAATCTGGCAAGGCATCAAGAAATCAAAACCCTAAACGAAAATGCATACTTCCAGATAATTAGAGCCAAATCATGTAGTTAATTTTCAGACCACATATGTATATAGTTAGATCAGTGTTACAAAAACTTGAACCAATTGAAGGCAAGAGTTGTCTAACAAATAGAGAAAATCATTTACCTTTGTGGCTGTGGGAATACATAGTTTCAACGAAGAATTGAAATGGGTTCCCTTGAAAATGTAAAGTCAGGCAAAAAGTGGAAGAAATGTAAAAAATCAGGCAAAAAAATGGAAGAAATTGTTGACAGCTGGCTTGGGTTCGGTTAGAGAGAGAGAGAGAGAGAGAGAGAGAGAGAGAGAGAGAGAGAGAGAGAGAGAGAGAAGAGGATGAAAGATGGGAATTGGGAGCGGCTAGGGTTAGTTAAAGTCTTAAAGAAAAGTTGGGATTGGGATGAAATGTTGGAATTGGGAGCGGCTAGGGTTAAATAAATATGCTACTCAAAATGGTATTAGTAAGAAAAAACTTCTTGTGAAAATGGTTTAAGTGAAAGATACTCAACCAAGCAGGAAGGGGTTCAAACGTCCTTTGCAGTAATTTTTTTTTGTTTTTTATAATTAAAATATATTTCGGTTCGGTTCGTTTTTCGAACCTCAAAAACCCAAATTGAAACCGAACCAGCCATATTCGGTTTGGTTTGGTTTGACAATTTTTAATTTGGTTTTTTTAGGCTTCAATCTGGTTTTTTTTCAGTTTTCGATTTTTTGAACCCACCTCTGCTGAATAGGACATTGGAGCATTATCTTCATTGTTTTGTGGGAGACAAGCCTTCTTCTTGGACCTCTTATTTGCCATGGGCAGAGTGGTGCTACAAGACTTCTTTTCACTTTTCAATTCAAATGTCCCCTTTTGAAGCCCTTTATGGTGGACCTCCACCCACTATCAGCTCCTATACTCCTGGATCAACTGTTGTTCATTAGGTTGATGTGGCCTTGAAGACAAGAGATAAGTTATTTTATCAACTGTGCCACAACTTATTATTGGCTCAAAATCGAATGAAGCAAAAGGCGGACAAGAACATAACACAACGTGAATTCAATAAGGGAAACATGGTATTTTTTATGTTACAACCTTGCCGCCAAGCTTCTGTTGAATTTCGCCATAATCACAAATTGTCACCGAAGTTTTTTAGACTTTATAACGTGTTGGCCCGTGTGGGAAAAGTGGCATATCGATTGCAGTTCTCGCATTCATCTTGTGTTTCATGTTTCACTATTGAAGAAACAAGTGGGAAAATTCCAGCCTTGTCACCTTTATGCTACCTCCCTTGGATGGCTGCAATAATCAAGAAAAACAGCTACCAGAAAAGATTTTGCAACGTGGAATGTTCAAGTCAAAGAATCGTGTTGTGACCCGTTGGCTCATTCAATAGAAGGGTGTACCTGAATCTGATGCAACATTGGAGGAT